TAATATTTTCTTTATGTATGTTAAAAGTTTCTCAAACTCCCCTCCATGATATTTTATGTTTATAATTGTTACTGTAAATTTTATTCCATTAGATCTTCTAAATATTTCCATTTCTGTCATTGGATGAGTTTGACCTGTTTTCCTTTAAGAACGGCCCATTAACCCCTGATCTCCTAGATCTGCAGCCTTCCTTCCATCACTGCCACTAGGGGATACTGACCTTTCTGATGGCCTGCAGTGCCCAGGCCAGCTCTGATCTGGAATTCCTCTTCCTTCCCCTACCCCATCTTCCAGAGGCCACTACTTATGCTCAGTGTATGGGGCACGTCTGATGGTACCAGCTCGCCGGGGACTCATCGTGGTCATCTCCTCCACTGGGGGTCTGCAGTACCTCTTCAATGTCCCCTATGGTGTGGGCAAAGCTGCGGTGAGGACCCAGAGACATGTGGGATTAGGAGGAAGTGTAGAATAATTGTGTTACCCATGGATCAGGAGATCCAGGCCCTGCAGGATGGGATCAGATTCGCTGCCCTTACTGTTCCCTCTAGTCCTCCAGGAAAAGCTCCTTTGTTTTGGCTTCTTTGCAGTTGCTGGAACAACACCACACTGGGGAAGGTGGGCAGCTGAGTCTTCTGGGCCCCTGAGAAGGGCAAAGGCATTATCGGGGGAGCAAAGAGGGTCCAGGGAATGTGACATGACTAGTACTGTGGAGTGCTCACTCTGCCTCTTTCTCTCTATAGTGCGACAGAATGGCTGCTGACTGTGCCCATGAGCTACGGAGCCATGGTGTCAGCTACGTGTCTCTGTGGCCAGGGCTGGTGCAGACAGAAATGATAGTGGAGGCCAAGGAGGACTTGGCCAAGGATCCTGAGTTCAAAGAGGTCAGCAAAGGGAGGGTGACAATGGCAGGCAATACAGAGGAAGCTGCCTCTCCATTCACAATGACAAGATAATAACAGTGACAACAACAATAACCATCTGGCTAGGTAGAGGGCTGAGCACTGTCCACTGTTTCCTTTACGCCTGTAAGGGAGATAGCATCTTCACTTTGTAGATGGAGAAAATGACATTTGGAGAGAGTAATAAACTTGCTCAAAGTCACATAGGTCATAAATAGAAAAGCTTCCTAGGGAAATGGGAAGACTATTGAGCTCCCAAGCCCATGCTCTTGCCTCCTGCCTTGATCTACTGACCTGGAAGCTCCCGACACTTGTCGGTACTCACAGTCAGCATCTCCTGCTTCAGGAATGGCAGTGGATCCCAGTCGCTGGGTACAGGCTTATCCACATTTGGGGAGAAGATGGTTCTGTCGATGGAACAAGGAAGGACTCTTTCCTGGAACAGAAGCTGAAAGAAGAAGACTCCAATACTAACCTTTTCTCTTTCTGTCCTCTGTACAGATTATGTCTGATTTCTCAATTGCAGAGACCACAGAATTGAGTGGCAAATTCATTGTGGCTTTAGCAACAGGTAAGGAGGTTGGGGATAGTTAGCTGTCAAAACAAAACAAAACAAAAGGCATGGAAGGAATATAGCAGCCAGTCACCAAATCCGGGTTCGGGAAATAGTTGAAAATTAAATTTTTTTTTCCCCTTTCTTCTGGCTTCTTGAATCCCAAAGACAGGATTCTCAGTCTGAGTTTTGGAGCCATTAGGAACTAGCTCCTAGGAAGTGGCCAGTACCCAGAGGCTTAGGAGCCTTCCTAAGAACAGAGAAAAACAATTGTCCTATATTCCTGAGCCTGTGTCAGTGGTGCCTTGTCCCACTGAACCCAAACCCCATTATTGTGTGCCACACTCCCATGCCACTTCTTACTATGTATGTATCCACAGACCCCAATATCCTGAGACTAAGTGGGAAGGTATTGCCATCTTGTGACCTTGCTCGACGCTATGGCATTAAGGATGTAGATGGTAAGTGCTCTGGGCCCAAGAACCAGCCTTTACTTCTCTTTTTCTGTTGTCTGCTTACTTTCTCCACGGCCTTTTGTTCCTCGCTTCTCGCTCAGTCATATCAGCCTAGACTGGAATGTTCAATGAATGGGAGACAAGAGTCTAATCATGTTCCTGTTGTCCCCAGGCCGCCCTGTCCATGACTATCTATCCATGAAATTTCTTCTGACACACACTTCCAAGCGGGGCTGGCTGGCCAGCTACATACCCAGCTTCCTACGAATGCCCAAGTGGATGATAACCCTCTATGCCAGCAAGTTCTGATGTTCCTGATGTCATGGCTCCACATTCTTGTCAGCCAGGCTGGGGTGGTTTGGCCTATCTCAATGGACCAGCACAGCAGTTTACCCCACTCAGATTCTTGATGAAGGGAAAGGCCTCTTCTGTGTGCCCGTGGTGAGCTCTAGGGACTCTTACAGGTCCTTCATTGTGCCTTGGCTTTCCTTGTTCCAACATTTTACATCTGCCTATGTATTGAAATGTGCCCTAGGGGTTAATAAAGATCTCATTTCTTCTTCAACATATTTTGAGTCCTGATTTTTGCTCCAAAAAATAGTAATTACTTAAAGAAATCCTCTTAGTCATTTGAGTCTTTATTCTAAATGCTTAGCAGTCTTTCTGTTAAAAAACCATTTAGGCTCCTCAGGACTTCATCCCTGGGACAAGACCCTTTCCTTCAAACCTATTCCTGCTGTTCCCCATGGCTCTCCAGCTTGAGGCAGGAGGCAGGAGCACACCCCAAACTCACTCTACCATCCCTTCCCCTCACTGCTCCAGAAGGATGTCTACTTGTGTTTTATTAATTATGCACAGGCATTTTACCGTGTGGATCACAACAAATTATGGCTAATATTGGGAAGCATGGGGATCCTAGAACACCTAATTGTGCTAATACAAAACCTATACCTAGACCAAGAGGTGGTGTGCAAACAGAGCAAAGGAACAATGCATGGCTTAAAATCAGGAAACGTGTGTCAGGACTATCTCTTTACTCTGTAACTATTCAATCTGTATGCTAAGGAAATAATTCAAGATTCTAGACTTTATGAAATGAATGTGGCATCAGGATCAGAGGAAGACTCATCAACAGCCGGCATTATGCAGATGACATAACCTTGCTTAATAAAACTGAGGAGCACTTGAGGTGCTTACTACAGAATATCAAAGACTAAAGGAGAACCAGAAGCACTTGCTGCAGGTCAAGAACTGTGGTCTTCAATATGCACTGAAGTTCAACATGAAGAATACATATTTTCACCACTGGGCCAATTGGCAACACCATAATAAATGGAGAAAAGATATTGAGGTTGTTAACAATTACAGCTTGCTCGGCTCCACAATCAATACTCTTGGCACCAGCAGTCAGGAAATCAAAAGATGAACTGCACTGGGAAAATCTGCTGTCAGGAACCTTTCCAGAGTTCTGAGGAGCAGTATTAAGTCAGTCTAGAAATCAAGGTGCGCCTGATTCATGTCAGTCTAGAAAGCAAGGTGCGCCTGATCCAAGCCATGGTCTTGGCAATTACTTCCTATGCATCAGAGAGTTAGACAATGACTAAAGATGACAGAAAAAGAATTGATGCTGTCAAGTTATGATGCTGGAGAAGAGTACTGAACATACCATGGACTGCCAAGAGAACAAACAGATCTGTCTTGGACAGAGAAAGCTGAAGCCATGTTTGTCCTTGGAGGTAAGGATTTTGAAGCTCTGTGTCACATATTTGGGGACATGGCCAGGAAGGACCAGTCCTTGGGGAAGGATATAATGCCTGGAAGGGTGGAGGGAGAGCATACAGAAGGGAGACCCTGGATGAGATGAATTGACATAGTAACTGGAGTAATGAAGGTGGGTGTGTCAGAGTCAATGAGACTGGCTCAAGACAGGGCAGGCTTTAGAGCTATTGTTCATAGGGTCACTATGAGTCACAAGCAACTCAATGGCCCAAACAACAAAAGCCTTCAATATGGATTACATCTCAACATCAAGAAAACAAAACTGGGCTAATAGCATAATCCTAGATAGAGAAAAGATTGAAGTTGTATTTTGTCTTCCTTAGATCTACAAGCAAAACCCTTGGTACCAGCATTCAAGAGATCAAAAGATATGTTACATTGGGGAAATCCACTATCAAGGATTTCTTTAAATTCAAAAGAGCAATGATTTTACTTTAAACATTAAGGTGCACCTCATTCAAGCCATGACCTTTCCAGTCACCTGCTATGCATCTGAAAGTTGGACCGTGAATAAGGAGGACAGAAGAGAAATTA